GGACAGTGCTCAACCAGCCACACCGGCCAGGACTGAGGAGCATTTTTAAAAACAATCCCACATGTCTATCCATTTTGCCCATGTCCTTTTAATGACAATATTGAATATTAACAGATATGGACTGGTTTTTGTAGATACACCCTCAGTGCAGCTCCATGAGAGCACTGAGGCTCACCCCCTGGCACCCTGCCAGCTGTCTCCACGGGGTCTTCAACTGTGTCTGGGTCAAGCCAGGGCCATGTAGAGCCACTTGTGATGTGCATGCCAAGTGTGTGGTACTCTGTAGCACTCCATCATTCTTCCCCTTGTGCCATCTACCTATTGAGGAAACCAACAGGTTGGTCCTATGGAATTTTTTGCGTTCTGCCCTGATGATCGATCATTCTCCCCTTGCTTTCCTCATGGCATTGATCAGCTCAGGGCTCCTTAGCCGTAGCCTGCTGACTCCTGGGGCAGGCTCATTCTTTACTGTGGGGGCCATCCTATGCACTGTGGGTGCTAGGCAGTATTCCTGCCTCCTCCCACCAGGTGACAACCAAAAGTGTCCTTTGGGGCAGAATCACCCACCATCATGAGTGTAACTGTGCCTCACCCACTGGCTTTCTGTGAACCTGTAGCTGGACCTGGACATGGATTTCATAAGCCACTTCCTATTGCCCCATCCTTTAAGGCTCTTCTCCATGGGTAGAGATAAGGGGATTCTGACCATCTTGAGTTCCTTCTCATCCTTGACCCATCTTATGGGAGAGGGTTCTTAGGCAGGCATTTGTGCCTCCTCCTATGGGGCCACCCAGCTCCCTGGCTGTCACCTATCCTGTACGCTCCCCATTTTCTCTCACACACATGGCCGTCTTTCCTACCCCCCCCCCCCCCCCCCCCCCCCAAAAGGGAGCTGCCAGGGGGCCAAATGATTGCAGAGCACAAATGTCCCTGCCTCATTGCATTGAGGCCTCCTTACTACCTGCTCTGCTAGGCCTCCCTGCTTACTCCCTGGCTTGGCTGATGTGCGGCACCAGTAGTGATCCTTGTCCTGAGCAGCTTCCAACTTCATACCCATTTGAGACTAGTGGGAGATGGTACATTGCCATGCGGGGACCTGACAGGTGCAGTGTGGGGCTGGGCTTCCTGGGCTAGCCTGCTGCTCAGGAGACACGGCATTGGATGGTTTAAAAGCGGGTATGTGTGACCTTTGAGCCTGCATTGGGAATGGCATAACTCCCCCCTCCCCCGAGAGTCTGAGGAGACTTGGGCATTGTTGTGATGCCTGAAGTGCAGCCCATTCAGGTACCAAGGTCACAGGTGTGGAGGCAGCAGTGCAGTGCATAGGGGTATCCAGGGCAGTTACATTACCTGGTGCCTTGATAATTTTGGTCTGAGGGCCGATCCAGAAGCCGCTGAGGCAACAGGGAAATGAGTACAGGCAATGTCCAGGCCAGTGCATCAGATCCTGTTGGTCCTAGGATGCTGCCTTCTATGCTGCTGCGTAGATAAGGTAACAGGGCAACACTCCACCCCCTAACCTCATGAGCTGTCGGCCCCTGCAGGGAGCAGACAGCCAGGCCATGATGGCCATGTTGCCATGGGAAGCACCTGAACCTCTATGATGGAGTGATGCTGGCCCTACCATGAAGGAACCTCTGATTTGGGCTCTGGCTGCTAGCTCAGAAGACACGGTTGGTGCCACACCCAACTTCTGGGAGCCCACAAGTTTGAGCCCGGACACCACCACTGCTTTTCGTTTGCACCATGCCTTCTCACATTTGGTTGTGTGTGTCCAAATCTTGCACTTTGTTATTCTTATCTGTGTCTCAGACTGTCAATGATCTTTTACAGAAATGTAACTTACTCTTTCATATTCATAGAGGGGTTCACCATGCCCAGTGCTCTTCATCATCTGTGAGATCCTCATCTCCATTTGATGTCACTCCCTCCTCCTGAAGAACTTCCAGAACCTTCCTTGTAGTGCAGATTTGCTATAAACATACTCTCGGCTTTTGTCTCTCTGGACAAGTCTCTATTTTACTTTCTGTTTTCACTGGATATAGAATTCTAGGTTGGCAGTTTTCTACCCTCAGCCCTTTAAAGATATACCTGTTATTGTCAATGGCTAGACAGGAAGCCTGTGGGGAGTCACCCAAGTGCATGTGTGAGAGTAGGAGTGAAATACTCTGTTGTTGAGAATGACTTGGTCCTGCTGGAGGGAAGAGACACCAGACAAGCCCATGTGGCCAGGAGCCTGGCTCTATAATGACAGCCAGGCTGTGTGGGGACATGCACTTGAGGCCGGCCCTCCCAACATTACAGAGAAAGTGGGGGCTTTTAGGCCTCTTGCCTGACTTTTCCAGTGTCAAGTGTGTCCTTCTCATTGTCCTTGGGGAATGAGTGACCTTGAAAGAAAAGAGTCTTCCAGAGAAGTTACTTGGCAGCTATGAAGCCAGTTAAATGCTTCACTGGATGGCCCACAGGGAGCGTGTGGTTGGAGGAGGGTGGACCAGCATGTGTGAGTAGTAGGGCTGCCCTGGTGCAGTTCCTTCACAGGAGACACACCCTGCCTGCTCCTCTCTCTGCTTACCCTAAGTCCAGCCTCACGTAACCATGGAGTCTGGAGCTCAAAGACCTTGCTGTGTGTGTATGGCACACAGTGCTTGCGTCAGCCCCTGCGAATCCCTGCACAGAGGTCTGGGCTGAGAGATCTGGGGGCAAAAGCCAAGACCCATGTGCCCTCTACCACTGTAATGTCCCAAATTTCTGCCCTGGCATTGCACTTGCTGTTCCTTCTGTCAGAAACAGTCTTCCTTCCTGGTTTTGATGATCAGGTGTCAGCAGAGAGCTCGTAATAATGACAGGCAGGCTACTTCGAACTGCCTGTGCTGCCGTGTTCTCATGTCTTCTGCTTCCCTCTCCCCACATATATCATCACTCTTGTGTTAAACGGGCTGACAGATAGGAATCTCTCCCTGCCTGTTGCTCAGAGCCCCCGAGTCTTCAGTAAAGGTCCTCTGTGGGCCTGATCTGCTGACCTGGCACATACTGATCTGCCTTCTGTCTCTTTAGCTTTGCCTTTTCTGGACACATAGATAAATGGACTGATACAGTGCATGGTCTCATGTGTTGCTGCCTCTCACTTAGCCAGTGGTTTCTAGGTTCACCCATATCATGTCCATCAGGAGTTTGTTCCTTTTTATTTTGGGATGGTAGTCTCTTGTTTTTCTGTCTGCCACCTGATGGGCATTTGGATTGTTCCCACTTTTCAGATACTAAGAATAATTCCGCTGTGCACATTTTTGTATAGGTTCTCATATGGACATATCTTTAATTTCTCTTGGCTAATGAATTCCTAGGAGTGGAATTGCTGGGTCATGGAGTAACTCTGTGTTTAACATTTTAAGAAAGCGCCAGACTGTTTTCCACAGCAGCCACACAGTGTACGTTTCCACCAGCCATGCGCTAGGGTTCTAGGGTGTTGTTTGTCTTTCCTGTTTAGCCATTCTGATAGGCGCACAGTTTGCATTTCATCGATGGGTAACAGCACTGAGCACCTTCTCATCTGCTCAGTGGCCATCTTTTCATGTCTTTAACCTAATTCCAAGCAGAGGCCACTTACATGTTGTATCTCCAAGGGCCCTGCCAGGACGAGACCCTTATGGGTGGTGTGTTTCTCATTCTTGACTGGCAGCCTAGGCAGGGGTCAGATCAAGGTCGTGGGTCGGATCAGCTGGTCCTGAGTCTACTTTGAAAGGAGCCTGACCCCTGTCTCAACAGCACCATGGCCTCTGGATGTCCCTTTCTGACAGCCTAGCAGTGTGGGTGATGTGTTCAGAAGTTTGGGGTGGTTTCTGGGGCATCAGATCCCATGGAGGTAAGTGCTAGTGCATGGAGTGACCCCTCGGGTCTGCTTCAGACAGCAGAGTCTTTTGAGATTCTCAGCAAAAGAGGAGGCTCCTGGTAAACAAAGGGGTTGCGTGTGTGGCCCTCATGTCCAAGCTAGCTGAGCCGTCTCCCTCACATGCCCACAGCCGTCAGCCCAGTGGCTGATGGACCTGCCTATTAAATCCCAGGCTTTGCCTGTTGGTTGTTTCTCCCCATGAGGGTGGAGCCACTCGACTACTCAGAGCTACTCCACCTCCCCAGGGCATGCTATGGGCCTGACATTCTGGGTGGGGAGCTGTCAGGCAGCCACTCAGGGAGGTACTGGGTTGGTAGGGAAGTATCCCTTACTCTAAGTGGGGCCAGGGTGGAGGCCAGAGTGGTGGGCTCGGTGATGGAGGTTTGAAGAGCCCAGTACCCCACTGCCATGTGGAAGAGGCAGGGTCCTATGGGTTTGGGGGATGAGAGAGGGGGTCATGGTGACAAGCCAGGGCCACATACTACTGTGGTGTCTGCTACTCAGAAGGTGGGTGTTCTGGGCCCAAGGTTAGAAGAGTAGGTGAAGCCCTCTATCTGTATTCACATTCTTTTAAAATTCCACCACAAGGCTGATATCCGAATACCTGAAGCTTCAAGTATTTATTTTGAGTTTTTACTATTTATTTTTTTATGACGTTTGGAAATTCTGCCACCCCTAGCACAGTGACAGACTGCTCTAAAACTGTGACATGGGAGCTAGGCAGGTTTTGGGCTTCATTCTGCCAATGGGAGGCCAGAGTCACATCATCAGCCTGCCTCCTGGCCAGTGATGCTCGCCCACCCTGATTTCCATCTGGAGGTGGTGTTTGTGAGGCAGGGTGGCCTGGGCTTGTGATGGGTTTGGGAGACCAGTGAGGGGCTGCTTACTGCCTGTGTCTCCACTCTTGGCCACACAATGACCCTCAGCCCCAGTCCCCATGCCAGTCAAGGGAACTCATATTGATCCTTCAAAACCCTACTTTGGTGACCTTTCCTGTAGTTTTCAGATGTTGTGTTCTCTCTCACCTTTCCTGAGCTCACGGTCTTTACCCTGCTCCTTAGCCAACCGGATGTGAGGCTCTGGATTTATAGGTATCTTTTGTGTTTTTTTGCAGGATTCTGTTTCACTGAGACCATCAATTCGATTTCAAGGAAGCCAAGGGGTGAGTCGTTTTTGTGTTACTCATATGTGGAATTGTGGGACTGGTTCAGTCCGAGGCCTGTCATGACTTGTTGGGCACAGCAGCATTTGGTCCCTTCCACCTCCATTCCAGCCCCCAGGCCAGGCTAAGCTCCACCTCTAGATGTGCCCAGGCTGGTCCAGGGGCCTACAAGTGGTCATCTGTGAGCAGAAGAAAGGTATCCTGTCTAGCACCCCCCAGGATCCTTCCCTTCCTTCCTATAGCAGATTCATACTTGGCTCCCAGGCCCCAATACACATTCTGACTCAGTCTCTGAGCTAATTCAAAGCTGTGGCCCCAGAGCCCAAGCAGTGTCCCTCTATGGACCCAGGACCATGGGTGTTTGTCTCATTTTGGTACTGAGTTGGGGAGTTACAGAAACTCAGCATTCCCATTTTATTATGAAATGTACTTTATTCTAAATGAACATGTTAATAGAAAAATCAGGGAGTGAAAGAAAGGGCAAGTTGTTCACAATCCTTGCCCTCCGGCCTTAGGACCACTCATCAGTACCTCCCACCCACCAAACACTCCTCGGAGCACTAGTTTTTCTTCTAGTCTTTATTACAAGTCTTTGTTTCTTATCTCAAGAGTTGCCACATGTGTCTACGTCAGTTTCCACTTGAGAGATCTGTGGATTTCACCGAGCCAGGATGCTCCATAGAGGAAGCCTGTAGGGCAGTGATGGCGAACCTTTTGAGCTCGGCGTGTCAGCATTTTGAAAAACCCTAACTTAACTCTGGTGCCGTGTCACATATAGAAATGTTTTGATATTTGCAACCATAGGAAAACAAAGACTTATATTTTTGATATTTATTTTATATATTTAAATGCCATTTAACAAAGAAAAATCAACCAAAAAACTGAGTTCGCGTGTCACCTCTGACACGTGTGTCAGGTTCGCCATCACTGCTGTAGGCGATGGTGCGTGTGCAGAGACAGAGATACCAGATACGCTGTGGGCAGGCAGGGGCCAGTGCCACGATGCAGCACGGCTTCTTCCTTCTCAGGGAGACTCACTCTCCCTCTTCACACCTTCAGCTGATTGGGAGAGGCCCACCCAGACCATTGCGGGTCCTCTCCTTTATTTAGAGTCAGCTGGTCGTGGATACCTACAGACCACCTCCACACACACCCAGATTAGCCCTTATGGGGGTCACTGGGGCTGCGGCCTGGCCAGGGACACACAAACTGACCAACACATTGAAACCAGTGAAGGTTGGCAAGACACCCAAAGGCCCAGACAACCCCCAATCCCCTGTGGCTTCTTGAGGACATCCGTGCCTTCATTGGCCCCATCAGAGTCTTGTGGTCACCCTTTTGCCACCTCCCTTTATTCTTCTTGAGACATTTCTCCAGGGGTGTCGGTGGGGCTGCCCTGGTCCCTCAGCCCCTTTCGGAAGATGAGACCTGTGCACAGAAGGGACCACTGAGGTCAGTGTTCACTTTCCACTACTCACAGATGCTCCATGAGGTTCTCCTGGGCCATGCCCTATGTCCCCCTAATTCCTACGGAAAGCCTGAGAGCCACATCCATTCTAGAAGTGGGATCTCAACACCTTAGTTTTAGAATCATGTTTTGTCCACTTTTTCTTCCTCCTTGGCTTTCTTTTGCTTCACAGAGTATCTAGAGTAGCCGTGGGCAAACTACGGCCCGCGGGCCGGATCCGGCCCGTTTGAAATGAATAAAACTAAAAAAAAAAAAAAAAAAAAAAAAAGACCGTCCCCTTTTATGTAATGATGTTTACTTTGAATTTATATTAGTTCACACAAATACTCCATCCATGCTTTTGTTCCGGCCCTCCAGTCCAGTTTAAGAACCCATTGTGGCCCTCGAGTCAAAAAGTTTGCCCACCCCTGATCTAGAGGGTTTCAGCGTGGAGGCGCTGTGTTGCAGCTCCAGGCAGTCCAGGCCATGATTTTTCACCAGGAGGCTCTTCCCTGTGGGAGCCTGTGTGAGGGCTGGATGGTCTGTGTGACGTGGGGTGTGTTGTTTTTTCCCCAGCTTGCTGCATAGAGTCAGGCACTGGGTCTGCCCCCGTGACATCTGTACCTCCTCCTCCTCCTCCTGGGCATTGATGGGACATGTCCCCCTCCCCCCAGCCAGGTGTGAAAGGCTTGGCCTGGTGCCAGGCTGCATGTGCACAATCACTCAGACTGGCAGGGAGGAGGTAGGGTGCCTTGGTTCTCTCCTCCCACTTCTCCTGGTCACTCCATTGCATGTGCACAGCTGGGCCTACATGTTCCTGAGAAGTAAGGAGGGGGTTTTGCTCTGTGCACAGCATCTGCAAGGTTGGAAATGGAACAGGATGTGGGGTGTGCATGGGGGAGCAGGAGGCCAGTGGAGCTGGATGGAACAGGCTCTTTAGGGACATGGGCTGCTTCAGTGTTCAGGGACCCACTCCCCAGAGGTCCATCAAGCTAACAGACTGAAGATTGAGACCCTATCTGTAGGCTCCTTAGCTCGGGGACCTTGGCCAATTTCCCCTTTGTCCCTCAGCCTCTACAAGATAGGGACCTTGTTCGCCGAGAGCAGTGGTCGGCGAACTGCGGCTCACGAGCCACACGCGGGCGGCTCTTTGGCCCCTTGAGTGTGGCTCTTCCACAAAATACTGATTTCTGTGCATGGACCACGAAGTTTCAGTCGCACTGTTCGTGCGTGCCCGCACGTGATATTTTGTGGAAGAGCCACACCCTGGGGGCCAAAGAGCCGCAGTTTGCCCACCACTGGCCTAGAGCAAGCATGTCAAATTTGCGGCAGGCTGTGAGTTTGACATGCTTGACCTAGAGGGTCTTACGTAAATTAACGTAGCTTTTGGAGAACCAGTGTACTCCCTGTGGCACAGGATGAGCTCACTCTTGGCTCCTGGTGCTCTCCCCCCTCAGACATGAATGTGGTTCCGCTGGCATAGGGTCACAGCATCAACGTACCTCCTGGGTGGCTGTTGGGCCCATCCCCACCACCTCCAGCCCAGGCTGGGGCTTGCTGCCAGACTGGCCCTGTAGCACCCTCTGGTGGCCACGGTCGCCCTGTGCACTCTGCAGCATTCACCACATTCCTTGGTTGGCTAGGCCCCACCTGAATGTATCTGGCCTCCGGGACTGTGTCTTCTGGAGCAAAATACTCACCTGTCCATTTTTCGGGTACGTTTTCACATCTGTGTTCTCTGCGCTCTCAGGGGCACTGAGCTAACTCACTGGTCCTCTGCTGTCAAGGGGTCGATTCTGAGTTGTTAGCCCCTGGCAGCTGGTAAAGCACCCCAGCCTGGCCAGCCCCACTCCAAAACTCTTCCGTTGAATGAAGAAGGAGAGGTAGGGTTTTGTCCTTGGCGTTTCCCTGGGCTGTGGTGGGAAACCACCACAAAGGTCTGTGACCAGCCCTATCAGACCTTGTTCTAGAAATTGCAGCTCATGTGGTGGGAACATGAGCTGCAATTTCTAGAACAAGGTCTGATAGGGCTGGTCACAGACCTTTGGCCGGTGTCTTATGTGTGTAGGAACCATGTCTATTAGGATGAGCTCAAGATTGAGCCACAAGGTGCTTGTTGCTGTGTTATTGGTCCCAGGGATAGTTTGGAAATATCTTAGAAATATCCCTAGAATGGGGTTTATGAGTCTGGAGACATCGTACACCAAAGTTGGGCAGTTGAGACCTTAGGAGCCTGGGGAAAGGGGGCATTGAAGGCGGAGCATTGCTCTTTTGAGCCCCATGGAGAAGGAAGAGAAGAAGGTGCTTAGAAAGGGCCCTGGGTATCTGCCAGGCCAGCAAAAGGGGCTGCTTTGCTCCTAGAAGGCGTGCTTAGCCACAGCAGTAACTCTCCCCAGAACGGTTCCCTGGGAATGAAAACGATGAAGATACAGACAATGGGGCGGAAAGGGCCTGGGGTAGGAGGTGGGGGCAGGCTGGAGGGGGTCAATGGGGGAAAAAGAGAGGGCATATGTAATACTTTCAACAATAAAGAATTTTTTAAAAAATATTAAAAAATGATGAAGAAAACTGATGGTTCCTGATAATCCTTTTGGCAAGAGTGGACCTGGTCAGTGGTGTTTGGCTCCCATATCCACCTGTTTTCCTCTTTTTGCCTGAAGGAATATCCAGTGCTGTCCCCCACCATGCTGCTCCCACCTCCACTAGGGACTTGATTTGTCTCCAGAACTCTCACCTGCACCGCATATAGTGACCTGGGGGAGGGCAGTGGCTGACTTGGGACAGATTTCAAAGAGAGGAGGTGAAAGGCTTCTGGCCAGGACCCCACTAACTGCCGCAGGGGAGCCAGCACCCCCTGCAGGCCTCAGGCCTCAGAGGCACTCAGGGCATCTGAAATGGGAGAAGCATGTTTATTGTTTATTGCTTGTTTTTCTGTCACACAAACACTTGTCCCCATCCCCCATAACCTGGTGTCAGTGCTGCCATCAGACACATCCAAACCCACTACATATACTCAGACCAACTGGTAGCTCTGAGACTGTCCAGAGGGCACATTCATGGCTGCTGCATTTCAGGCCATGTCCTGGAACACATGCCTAGCTCCCTGGCACAGAGACAGCTGCACATTCCTGTGCCGTTTGTGCCCAGTTGGATGGTTTCCTTGCTGGTTCCCAGAGATTGGTAATTATTAACCAGCAACAAACCATTAACCAGAGGATGCCATAGCAGTGGTGCCGCTCCCAGCACACTCTCCTCCCACCCCCAGCTATCCTGAGGACACTGGCCACGGCACCTGTTCACTAGCCAGGACCAGGCTCTCCTGGGCATTATTTCAAGCCCTGTGTCACCCACTGTCCTGCACAGACTGGCCTCTGAGCTCAGTGCTGGGCCCTCTCCTACTCCAGGACAAATTTTGGAAGTGGGCATATGTGCCTAGTGTAAAAGGCCCACACAGCGTGAAAGGGTTACAGTGAAGTGCACGGGGGAAGCACGGTAGCTGCTCCCTGCTCAAGCTTGGGTAGGGCATCTGCAGCGTGGTGAGTGGGCCTCTGCACATGGCCTGGTCCCACCGTCAGCTCTCTGCTGCTTACAGGGAACATTCTGAAGCTGTGATGAGTGGTTTCCTACACCCGTGTCCTTGGGCAGATGTCTGCCCTGTCTTGATCCAGTGTGGGCTGTGCCTGTCACGGCTGTGGCTGCATAGTTGCGGAGTTCCGTTTCCCACCTGCCTATATGAGTGGGGTCGAGTCTGCCTCACGGCTGCATGAGCTGGGGGGCGGGTTAGGTAGGGTGGGAGCTACCCAGGGCCACCAGTACCTTAGAACTCAGGCCGGATTCCCCTCCCTTCCTCTCAGGGGTGACAGTTCAATGGGGACTGACACCCTCTGTGGCCACTGCCCCCTGAGCAGATATAGGCAAGGAAGGAGGAGCCACCCACGTCCAGCCCAGTTTCCCCAGAAACTGCTTTTTATTTTGCCAACTGGTGTGCAGGCTTCCTGCCATGTTCTGGGCAGCTGCATGCTTGGTGTGCATCGGCTGTGGTTGCATCTCCCTGGTGACCCTCAGAAGCCTTGCTCACAGCCACAGGCCAGTGGACAGACACTCAGGTGGAGTTTGCATCCCCATGGAGGAGGTGGAGAGGAGGTCACTAAGCGGGGCAAGGGTCAAAGCTTCTTGGCTGCCCAGCGAGCCCTGCTGGCTGTTGACATTATCTTGTCTCATTCTCTCCCCCGCCACTTTTTTTTGTTAATCCTCACCTGAGGATATTTTTTCCATTGATACTTAGAGCGGAGGGAAGGGGAGAGAGAGAGGGAGAAACATCGATGTGAGACACATTAATTGATTGCCTCCCGCACGTGCCTTGACTGGGGCCAGGGATTGAGTCTGCAATCAAGATATGTGCCCTTGACCAGTGGCCCTGCAGTCTGTGGGCCAATGCTCTAACCACTGAGCAACCAGCTAGGGCTCATTTTACCTTTGAGGATGTCCTTGGCCAGATCTGCCCTTTTTGGTGGGTGAGGAAACTAAATCATCGCCCAGATCTGGGTTCGGTCCCTGCCTCCACGTGTATGTTCCCCGCTCTGTACTTCTCAGACTGTGATGCCATCACCCTTCCCTCTTACATGGGAACAGAGGACCCTGGCATTACTGGGGACAGGTGTGGGGGAACGGCCTAGGGTCCTGTCACTGCCCAAAGCAGAGGTGTTTAAAGCAGAGGTGGACAGTTGGGGTCCAGCGGCTGTTCTGTGCCACGATCCCCTCCATGCTTTGGACTCTCAGTGATGCCCCCTTGTCTCCGTGCAGCACATCTCCATCCCGCAGCCGGACTACCCCTCAGAGGCTCGGATCTTCTCCTTCTACCTCTCCAACATTGGCCGTGACAGCCCCCAGGGCAGTTTCGACTGTATCCAGCAGTACTTATCCAGGTGAGGCCAAGAGGGACTGCCCTGCCTCTCCAGCCTCCCCCTGGGCCCCACCCTCCTATGCAGGTGTTTGCCCACCGCTTTTGGCCCCGTGCCTCCTTCTCCCAGTGCCCCCATACCTCGACTGAGCCCCTCTGGCTGCTTTCATTGTGTCCAGGGTGTAGGTACTTGCATTGTGTCTCTGGCCCAGGGGCCTTGGACCCCTTGTTTCTTCTGGGTAAAGATGTGCCCTGTGGAAACCATACATCAGTGCTGAGCCCTGTTTCCTGGTGGGGGCTGGGGGGCTTGGGCCCAAGACCATATCTCCGTCTCCCAGGTGTTCATCTTAGCTCCTGGCCCCTTGTCTTGCAGCCATGGGGATATACACCTGGACTGCTTGGGTAGCATCCAGGACAAAATCACAGTGTGCGCCACCGATGACTCCTACCAGAAGGCACGGCAGAGCATGGCACAAGCTGAGGAGGAGACACGGAGTCGGAGTACCATCGTCATCAAGCCCGGAGGCCGCTACCTGGGTGAGGACGGGAGCCAGGGGCTTCAACTGTGAGGGCTCCACTTGGGCGGGAGCAGATTATGCCTGACAGGCAGCTGTTGGGGGAGTAGAAGGCATTCAGAGCCTGTCCAGGCCAGGAGCAGGA